TTCAGGATGCGATGCTAGATCCTGCTTCGGGGTAGAATTGTGGGTGAGACAAGATGGACCCTGGGATGCCACCTCTGTGACCGTGACACACGCCGATCCCACCAGGCTTGTCGCTTGTCTGCGACTCGGCAATAGCCGCGTCCGTATCTTTGTCGGGCGCGGGCCACACAGAGGGCATGATGCCAGCGTCCGCGAGACATGGTGGAGGCAAACAGCCAGGGTCTGCCACGCGGCAAAGCCAGCTATGCCGTGGGTGTTTTTGGTAGACGCCAACTGTCGAGTCGGCTCCATCACATCCGCAGCGATCGGCCCGCACCAAGCAGACATAGAAGACGCGGCGGGCGCGCTTTTTCACAGCCTGCTGTGCGATTTGGATGTCTGGCTTCCGTCAACCTTCGATGCCTGCATGAGAGGCGACGGCGGCACTCTCATCCAGAAAAGGAATGGAGAGACGGACAGGTCTGACTTCATCGGGTTGCCGGGCAGCTGGATTTGGTCGCCTTGTCTTGCCTGCGTCGATCCGGCAATCTCTGCGGGACATATCGGGGTAGACCACTACGCTGTTGTGGCCAGCATCTCGCACTTCTTTCCTGGCTCCAGAGACGGAGCGCGGCGGCCGGTCCGCATTGATGCACAGGCGATTGCCAACCCCGAGAATGCTGAAGCTATAGAGCGGATACTAGCGGCGGTACCACGAGTGCCCTGGACCACGGATGCCAGTGAACATGCTGCCATCGTTGTCGACCACCTCTACAACGAGCTCGCCAGGCAATTCCCGGTTGCGCGCCGGCGCTTACACAAAGGCTACCTCACAGCAGCCACCGAAGAGCTTCACCGCCAGGTTGCTGCTCTTCGCCACACAGTACGGACTCGCAGTACCGCACTTCGGCTTGCCTTCCTGAGGTGTGCCTGGCTTGCATGGCGTAGTGGCTCGGTCTCTTTCGGCTCCCTCTTCTGCGGTCGTTGGCTTTGGCAACTTAAGACTAGGCTAGGGCACAGCTGCATGTTGCTGCGCCGGAAGGGCAGCCTTCTCCGCTCCAGCTGCCGTGCTGACAGGAATTCCGCTCTTGTGCAGCTTTCGAGCGAAGTTGCTCAGGCCCCGCCCTCGGCGGTTCATAGAGCTGTCCAGCGGATCCTCCGTCCCAAGAAATACCGGAAATCTCAGAACGATCCGCTCCCGGCGTTGAAACGCCCAGATGGCCGGCTATGCCAGACCGAGGCTGAGGTGAAGGCAACCTGGAGGGGCCATTTCAGCGCTTTGGAGGGCGGCGCTGATGTGGATGCGGCCGATCTTGTGCTTGCTTGCCGCCGACGTCAAGCCGCGTATGAAGGCGAGGACCTTCTCCCGGCCGGCACAGTACCGTCTTGGGTCACACTTGAGGCTGCCTTCAGACACACCGCTGCCCGAAAGGCGGCCGGCCCAGACATGATACCGCCCAGTTTGTGCCGCACTTTCTGTCATCGGATGACAGAGGTGTTTTGGCCTGTCCTCCTCAAGCAAGTATGCCTCTCGGCGGAGGCGATCGGCCTCAAGGGAGGTCTGATGCATGCAATCGGGAAGCCAAACTGTCCGGACTCTCGAGCGTGTTCCTCGAGGCGAGGCATCCTTGTGCAATGCTGCGTGGCCAAAGCCCTACACCGCGCTGTGCGCGGCCAGTTTGTTGACCATTGGCGGAGCAACTCGCTGCCATTGCAAATCGGAGGTCGAGTTGGCTGTTAATTCGGCGAACTTTGGACACCTGGTGTCACGCGCGGTGCTCTACTATGCTCGAAGGCACCGCCTGTCGGCTGGCCTTCTGTTTCTTGATCTGGCCTCGGCGTATTACGCCGTAATCCGAGAGACAGTCGTCGGTGGTAGTCTCTCCCAGCGGCCTGCGACGGAGATAGCTAGCGCTCTTAGCCTCAGCAACGAGGATCTGCAGCGCCTCACCGCCCTCATCGACTCCGAGCCTATCCTTGCTTCGCAGTCGGCGCATCCCGCCCTGACCGACTTGGCAAGGGAGCTGCATGTGCAGACATGGTTTGTGATGTCGAGAGACAGCACGATAGTCGAGACTACGCGAGGAACACGACCGGGCGGATCCCTCGCAGACGTCCTGTTCAGCATTCTATTCGCCAAAGCGATTCAACGGAGACAGTCCCCTGCAGCTGCCAATGCTTCGCCGAAGGTGCCATGGAATGGGAAGTGCACTCTCTTCCCCGGTGCCGACAGGGATGGCGCACCTCCTATGACGATCACCGATGTGGTGTACGCGGATGACATGTGCACTCCGGTCGTTTGCGAGGAAGCAGCACAGTTGCGGCCTACGGTGTCTGCCGTCACTGCTGACACGATCAACGTTCTCCTACCGCACGCCTTGCGGGTCAATTTGGGACCGACCAAGACGGCAGCTCTCATGGCCCCATGCGGAGCAGGCTCCAAAGCGGTAAGGCGAGAGCTCTTCACCCAGCTCCGGGGCCGTGTCCCTGTGATCCCGGACCACAGGGGACTGCTGTGGCTCGACCTCGTACCTCAGTACAGGCACCTAGGGTCGCTGGTGTCGCATAATGGAAGCCTTTTGCCTGAAGTGCGGCGGCGTTTGTCGCAGGGCCAGGCCGCCTTTCGTGCCGCTCGCCGCAAGCTCTTCGCGTGCCGTGACATCCCGATGGAAAAGCGAGCAATGCTGCTTCGCAGCCACGTGTTGTCGTGCATTCTTGTTGGAGCAGGAAGCTGGCCATTGCTGTCCAAACAGGAGTGGAGCTCCTTCTCTGGAGGGATCATTAGCCTCTACAGACAGATGCTGGGGCTTCGAGCGGAAGGGCAATGGCGGCTTACTACTGCCCAGCTTGTTAGCCGAGTGGGGCTTCCCTCGCCCCTTGCACTTTTGCGTGCTGAACGCCTCAGGTTCCTTGCCCAGATAGTCCGATCTGCGCCCGATTCGGTCTGGGCCCTGCTTGGCTGGTATGAGCCATACCAGGCTGCGGTCCGGGAGGCTTGTAACTGGTTACTCCAGATTGTCGGTGGCCAGTGCCCTTTTGGTGCGATCGATCAGGATTGGGAAAGCTGGTCAGAGTTCATCGCGACACAGGGTGGTAAATTCAAGGGATGGATCCGACGTGCTGAGGCTGCTGATCTAGAGCAGCACCATGCTCTTGCCGCGCACGATCAGCTCCTTCGTAAGGTGTGGACACCCAAGTCTGTCGCCTGCTCTTCTCCTTTGGCTGAGCTTGAGCACGCATGCCTCATCTGCGGCGTTGCCTTTCCTTCGAGGCAGCAATGGGGAGCACACGCCCAGCGCAAGCATGGGTATCGAAACTTAGCCACCAGACTTGCCCGCGGGCGCTCTTGTTTGGCTTGCGGTGCTCAGTTTGCGAATATCTCCAGGCTGCAGAAGCACTTTCTGTTCTCGGTCCAATGCGCCCAGTACCTCGAGCAGAGCGAGGACTGCCCGGGGCCCACTGATGGCGAGGCGAGCGGGCACACTCAGGCGCCCTCGAGTGTCGGTTGGGGGAAGGATAGGCTGCCGCCTCCGCAGCCGGAACACTGTCGAGGCCTGCTCGAGGAGCTACAGGTATCGAGGCCGAGCTCCGATCAGGAGATCTACGACGTGGTGCTTGCCCACATTGCACCGTTACCTGTGCTGAGGCACACTTTGGAGTGCTGGGCCAACTCTCTTGGCGGCGATGCCATTGCTGAGGCGGCCAGGGACGTGCTGCTGGTTTTGTCACCAGAACATTTGTGTTCCAGCATTGTCGGGGTGCCGCCCGGGCAGCGGAATGCTGAGGGCCCTTTCCAACCTGACATCAGCCCTTCTGTCTTCCGGCCCTCCGGGCTTTGCATGCCTGTCCGTTGGAGTGGGGCTCTATGTGTTGAATGGGTGCAAAAGTGGAGTCTCTTCGACTTTCCGGCGGCTGCAGTCGAGCTGGATCTGCTGCCGGACGGGCTGCTTGAATGCAATGGGCTCTTCATTGTCTTTTCGCCCCCTCCACAGCACATCTCTGTCCTTCCGAATCTTCCGCCCCTACCGCTTCGTCAGCTGCGGACGCTCCGCGCTCGGGCCTGCTCCTTGCTCTGGGCCTTGAGCTGTGCCCTCCAGACTGCCTCTCGTGGCACGCCTGTGCATTGTCGATTTCCTTTTCAGCCTAGTGCCCTCGGTCAAGTTGCGGACTGGATTTACGACATGTCATCAGCAGCTGATAGAGCCGACGGCTCCGCTGCTTCCTGTCTCACTTTCGAATTCGCACCGCTATAGGCACGTCGTTACGACTTTGAGCCTTCCAGAAGAAGAAGAAGTAATAGTATGGTGGGGTCAAGGGGCCCAAACCTCGAAGCCTAATCCCTATCACTTCAAAACAACCACCAAGACTCAACACCGCTCATGTTGGCGAGTTTGTCCTTTCATCCCGCATTCTCTACCCCGCAACCGACCAAGCCTAAGGCCTGCAGAGAATGAGTTTTCTATGAGTTTCTCCGGCCTGTTGTTGTTTCTAGATTGACCATGAGCAGAAAAGGCAACGCAAAATCACAAATCCAGGCAATGCTTTTGCACATGACAGATTCCTAGATGGCTGACCAAAAACTGCCAAATCCTGAGTAAGCCTCAGAACAAAAGCATTGAAAAGGGTTGCCGATCACATGTAAACACAGCGCGGCACTAGCAAGCACACGGGCAGTGCAAGAAAACCACACGCAAGAAGCATCAACATCAGCAACCGATGGCCATCGTACGGGTCGAACGCAGCAGGAGCAATGCATGTCGTCAGCGGACAACAACCATTGCTACATAGTGACAGTGCAGAAAGTCGTACTACATACCGATCAGTCACAGTCTTAGCACGGGCCATGCTGAGAACAGGCCGACATGTAATTACTAAGATTTTTTTAACTGGCAGGTACCTAAACCCTATAAAGTTTAGACTATAAAACCCTGAGTCCAAGCATGCTGCACCCCAAAGCCGCACACCCCAAACATTCAAACCCGAAACCCAAAGAAGACTCCCTTAAAGCCTGTTGCAACAAGGACTGGCATGGCTCAAGAGGCGACAGAGGTCCTTGACATCTTTGCGGAGGAGTGTCTCGAAGGGGAGGGACACTTCCCGTTGGGCTTAAGGATTAGGGTTGAAGATTTCCCGTTTAGGGACTAATTAGGGCCTCAGGGTTTTTCCCACTGGTAGGGGCTCTAGAACTTAGGGTGCCACGTCGCCATGTGGGAGTAAGCCGTGCTTGCTTGGTTTCTGTGTATGAGCAAGAGGGCCCACCCGCTAAGACTGACGATGGCACGGTTTGGAATTTTGGGCTAGGGCTTGTTATCCGGACCGGTTCATTAAAGAACCCTTATGGTAGTGTTCAAGCAAACAGATGATTGCGGTTTCTATCATTATCAACTACATCATTATTCCTATGATTACTATGCTGCTTCTTAGTATTACTGTTGTATGTTACCGTTATTTTTTATTGCTGTAACTTTTGCTATAACCGTAGTATGATTATGATTCTGCTCATAATGTTGATTATGGTTACTGTTACTATGATCATCATCATTCCTATCATTACGGCCCCTCTGTGATAGCAGGGCCCAGGTTACAGGGTGAGCTCCTGGGAGCCTTCGAGCCGCTGTTACCGACCATTCAGCATCTGCTGTGGCCTGGGGTCTCGGGTTTAGGGTTCAGAACTTTAGGTTCAGAGTTTAGGGTTCAGGGTTTAGGGAGTCGTTGGGTTTAGGGCTGCGGCTTTGGGGTTTAAGTGCAGGGTGTGTGTGTGAGAGAGCGAGAGAGAGAGAGAGAGAGAGAGAGAGAGAGAGACAGACAGACAGACAGACAGACAGACAGACAGACAGAGAGAGAGAGAGCGTGCGCGGGCGCGTTAAGCTGCGGGTGCCTTGCGTGGGGTCGGACGCAGGAGCTCCGTTTTTGGGGTGGAGAGGAGATTGCCGAGCTCGAATCAGCCACTCGTCTTATCGAATCTTAGGAGAGGAAGATCCAACTATTTAGGGTCATATGTCCGGCTTTTGACATCCTTAGAGTAAGGGCTTTCGATTTTAGCTGGATCCTACTGTTGTCAACGTCACATTGGGTCTCTGTTTGTAGGTTCTTACTATTAGGATGCTTCGAACTTTAGAAGAACGGCAGGAGCCTACTCTTCATAGCTCGCCTACAGTCGGATTATGTTATGGGTGCAATGATTGTGAAAATTGGAGGCCGGAGGTCTTCGCAAATGACTTTCCAAGCGTAGGAAGCACTACAAGCTATTGTAGGGGGTTCTGAATACGTAGTAGCTGTATTCCTGCATCGTCCCTATATAGCTGTACTGGACAGTACTAATTCTGGCCCCACTCCCTCAACATCTGAAAAGCTGCAGCCAAGGACAGCAAGAATCGCAAGCTCGGGAAGGTGATGGCCAGGACCATAGCCCCAGCATGTGGGGCTGAATGTATTTGTCTTTAATGTTTCCGTGATATCATAGAAAGCCCCGGTTCTTGGTTTTCAGGATTTTGGACGAAGCGAGCATAGTAGACGTACGTCGATGCAATGCAAGTTTCTGCAAAGATGGACCCGGCGTGTGCGTTATTGATCGTGCGGCTGGTGGCAGTGTCTGCTACTTGCGTCGAACGTCGTAATGTTTAACCCCACCAACAGCCCAAAGCAACACGCGACAAGCCCACGGTGTGTAGACCAGAAGGAAGACTAATCCCTTTGTCCAGAGCACAAGCTTTAGACCTGAAGCCCCAAAGGAAACCGAACAGAACCCTGCCAAACTTTCAAGACCACTGAACCCCAAGTAGAACCCACACCAGTTTCATGAAAGAACACATATCCCGAAGCCCGAACCTCCCAGCCACCTTGTAACCCTAAAGCCCTCACGGTACATCCGTCGAACCCTGAAAGCAACGATCCCCCAAGCCCTGACCCCTAAACCCTTACCGAACCTGTACAGAACCACCTTGATCCTTAAACCCCAAACCCTCAAAGAACCCTTGAAGCCCTTAAAGAATCCTTGAAGCCCTTAAAGAGCCCTTAGAAGGAGCCCTTAAAGAGCCCCTAAGGAACGCTCGAAAAAAGCCTCGAAAAGAGAGAGCCCCTCAGAGGATGTCCTTCGGCGCCCTTCTAAGCCTCGCCTCGCACCGCTTGGACCGCGACCCGCTCCCGGGCCGACTGTTTAGGGCTTCAGGGTCTAGGGGTTTAGGGGCTATAAGGCTTGCTCTAATTAGGTCTAGGGCTTAGGGTACAATCTATATCTACATATATATATTTATACACACACACATGGTTTAGAGTTTAGGGTTTCGGGGTCTAGGGGTTTAGGGGCTATAAAGGTTACTCTAATTAGGTCGTAAGGGATCCATATTTCACATTATCCTATGTTATATTCTAGTACAGTGTATTATTGCATTAGTCTTATACATATATATATATATATGTAGAATGTAGGGTTGAGGGTGTAGGGGTTAGGGTACAATCTTTATATATATATATACACACATACACATGGTTTAGGGTTTAGGGGTTTAGGGTTTAGGGGTTCGTTACTGTGAGGGCTACTGGATGGGTCGTAAGGGATACTACAAAGGGAGGAGGTTAGGTTCAGGGTTTCTGGCTGCGGGTGTCGGGTTGTTAGGGGTTCCGGCTTCTTTAAGGGATCCTTAAAGGTTTCGTTTAAGGGCTCCCATTAAGGAGTTCCTTTATGGGATCCCTGATGGGATTTGTAAGGGGTGATGCTTTGCGTGGTGTGTTTTTGTTCTGTGCGTTTTCAGGTGGCGGGGGTTGTTGAGGTTTAGGCTTGACGGTTTGAGTTCTTTTTTTGGGTAGGGTGATTGAGGTTTGGGGTCAGGGGTTTTAGGGTTTTCGGTTCAGCGGGTTTAGGCCGCCTCAGGATCTCAAATGACCAACTTCGGAAGCCCTAAACCCATAAAACCCGTAAAACCCATAAGCCAAAGCCCTATAAACCCTAAACATCCCCATCCTGCACAACGACTGAGGCCTCGTGAAAACCCTTGAGCCGTGAAGGCCCAGGCCGACCCCTACGAAGCCGCAGATCCCTGAACTTTCTGTGAGGTAGTATTATTCGGGGTACCCCTTAAAGGGCACCCCTTCTGAACCCTACTTCTGGCTCTCTTAAAAGGGACCTTATTGAGAGGGTTTCTATCCCCAAAAGGGTCCCCCTAATCCTAGCTCCCAAGTGTACGGCCCTCACAATAGCACCAGGAAGGCCCTAAAGCACCAGAAGTCCTCAAGTCCCATAGACCCTACCTGCAGTCTCCATTGCAGTTCTTTTTTTTGGTTTAGCCAGTTTTGTACTAAGGATCTTATAAGGCAACCCCACAAAGGAACTACAATGGAGACTATTAAAGTGCTAAACCTAAACCCTGACACCCCAAAGTCCTAAAGGACTGAACCGGGAGCCCGAAATACGCAGGAAAGCAAAGAGATCCCCGGCCTCTTTTGATCACTGGTCTCTACAGAAAACTGCTTGGTTCTTAGTAGGGAATGGGGAAAGTTGGGTGAATATAGAGGTCTTTGTAATTGCCTAGACTCTTTTGGGGGGTTCCCTCTCATGATCATAGTATAATCTACCCTAAAGCCCTAGTCTAATTATTCAGGCCCCTACCTTACCCTAAACCCTAAACCCTAAACCCTAAACCCTAAACCAAACCCTAAACCCTAACCCTAAACCCTAAACCCTAAACCATAGGAGGAACCTTAGGTTCGCTCACTGGACCAAGGAGAACATAGGGGCCTCGAGTCACAAGCAGCATCGAGAAGAAGCACCGAAACAAGCTTGTCAGTTAAGCCGGGTTTAGGGTTTAGGGGTTTAGGATCTAGGGTTTAGGGGTTTAGGGTTTAGGGCTTAGAGGTTTAAAGGGTTCAGGGGTTTAGAGGTTTAGAGCTTAAGCTGCTCAGGTTCCAACGCCGTCTCAGCCAGGCGCGGTTTCTTGCAGCTCAGGTTTTTCGACCCTTGGTCTGGCGCTTTTGGCTTTTGGGCGGATCTCCTTAGGAGGATTGGAGGACACTGCGTTTTCCCTAAACCCTAAACCCTAAACCCTAAACCCTAAACCCTAAGCCCTAGCCAAGGTTCCGGGATGATGAGGCTTCAGGGTGCGGGGCCGGCCCTAAGGGTCCCATGTAACCCAGAACCGGGCACTTGAGTTTGGGATAGTGGACACTGTAGTGGCTTCGTAAGTTGGGGAGTGGGTGGTTCTTGGGGACTTGGACCCGCTGGACGCGGTGATCTTAGATTATATGGGTGTTTCCGAAAATAGGGGACCCTAATATAGTACCCTAAAATGTAGGATCCTTAGTATATGGACCCCAAAATAAGGTACCCTACTTTTCGGAAACTCCCATATGGGCGTGCACTTTGACTTCCAGCTTCTCCAGTGGGTCCTGTTCCTGCGTGGGCTTAGGAGAAGGATGCAGCGAATGTCGCTGGCACATGCTACAAGTTTTGGGGTGGCACGGCATGGGTCGGCCAACTTGTCGGAGACCTGGACGGAAAGAGCATGCGGAAGATGACGCCTGGTTTGGCATCTACGATCGCGTCACAGAGTTGGCATCGACTGAGAAAGCCAGACTGCAACATGAGCTGTGCCATCCGTTCCCGTTCCCGCATGAACTGTGGCTGTGCAGGCGTGTTGCCGCTTTCAACATCCTTCGTCCTCAACCAAACTTCCAGGACAAGCCTGTTGACAGGCTTGAAGTCTCTGTTATAAATACAGGTGCTGTGACAGTCACAATAACAGTCGATATGGTATTGGGAATACCTTGCTTACTTTTATATTGATATCTACTTATTTATCTATGGAATCTATCTGTCTGTCTTTGTGACTGTCTGCCTATCTATTTGTCTATCTATCTATCTATCTATCGATCTATCTATGTATCTATCTATCTATTTACTTACCTATCTATCTATCTATCTATCTATCTCTATCTATCTATCTATCTATCTATCTATCTATCTCTCTCTATCTATCTCTCTCTATCTATCTATCTATCTATCTATCTATCTATCTATCTATCTAGCAATCTACCTATCTATCCAGCTATCAGCTATCATACAAATATAAATATGTATATCGACTTATTATATCAGATGATATCATGTTACAGTATGTTACATTATACTGCTCTTTCGGTTTGGCTATATAGCCTCGTATAAACAAATAGGCTCTATTGCGAAGTGTGAAACCCCAGAGTTGTTAAAGAACATTGGGGCCAAAGCCTCCTGTTAGCATATGGCTGCGGTTTAGGCGGGTTGCTGAGGATTTAAAGCTTTCGGGTTCAAGAGTTAGGGTTTAAGGTCCAGGGTTGTGGGCTTAAGGTTCAGGCTTTCAGGGCTGCTTAGAAATCGACTTGGGATCAGGTGGCAAGAATTTGTTGGGCCAATCCTTCGAAACTCTTCGCGCTTGAAGGATTATGGGCATCCAGACCAGTAAGGCTGTCATCGCGGTAGCTAAGGGTGGATTCAGATACAGCAAGACTCACGGACTTCTTAAGTTTTATCCACTAACCTCCAAACAATCCCCTTGCCGCTAGCCCTTCCTCATCCTAGCAACACTAGTGTTTAGGATTTAGGTGCTAGTGCTAGTGTTTAATGCCTAGGGCTTGCTATGCAACACACTCATCAACACGGAAGCACGAGAGGCGTTGGAAACGCTGCGTCGGTCCGTCTGAGGCGAAGCGTGTCGGGTTAAGCGCTGGGAGGGACATAGGTACTGTGTGTATCTATATATATATATATATATGTGTGTGTGTGTATATGTATATATATATATATGTTGCAACCTAGTATTACTTCATCATTTAATGCTGTACTAGACTACATTGTATGATTGATTCTGTGTCCCGCCATCGCAGATATTCGTCATGAAAAGTACTGTCACCTTGAACGTAGTCAAGCAGGTAGGCCATTGAGGGGCATTTTACATTTTGGTTTGTTAGGATGGGGGTAGGCGCATTAATTATGTTTGCCAACATGGTCGGAGGTCACTCGCGAGGGAAGAAGGGCTTTCACATGAACAACTTGAGAGTTTCCAGGGTTTGGTTGCAGATGTTGCGCGCATTTGGGGATCAAAGCGTCCAGAGCCCAACCCAAATCTGGAACGTCCGAGCTCTGAAACACGGAGCATTCCAGGATTCTAGGAGCCGATCTACGAAGAATTTTAGTGGCCCATCCTGCGGCCCAGAGCCGCAACTTGAATCCCGAATCCTCAAAGATCTAGAGCCCTGTAGGCCTCAAAAACACGCCCCCCCCCCAAAAGGTACTGTCAGAACTGAAAGCCTTTGTTAAAACAGCAACCGAAGCCGACGCCCTGGAGGCATGATCTGCTGCATACTGCAGCCTAAACGCGAATTCAAGCGTCGTACATTGCTGCTTGGATGCGGGGTTTTGGGGGGATTGGGTTGTAAGCTGTTGTCAGGTTTGGGCTCAAAGCGGTTTGGCTGTTCGGATGGTTTAGGTGACGGAGGTTTCCAGCATTTTCTGGTTAGACTTTACGCCCTCAGAATCTTGTTGCAGGCGAGCAGACGTCGGTGTCAACCATGAAGCCTAAGCCCTATAGGCCCTAGGCGCCAAGCCCCGAAGCCTAAACCCATACAGCCCAAACTCGACCCCCCTCAAGCCCTAAAGCGTGCTTGGCTTCTAGTAGAGTACATCCCAAAGTCCACTTCTATCCGATTCTACACCTGAGCCCCGAAACACTAAGCCGTCAGCCTTACTTACACCTGCAGCAGTCCTACAGCTCTTCGATTCATGCATTCAGCATTGTGTCCTTTACCCGCAAATACACCCTATCAGCCCCTAAAGCCTAACCCCTAAACCCTAAATGCCTTTGAACCCTAAGCCCCAAATATACTCTATCAGCCGCTAAAACCTTATCCCCTAAACCCAAAGTGTGCCTATGAACCTTAAGCCCCAAACCCAAACTCCCTTTGACTCTTAAACCCTACAGCCACAGCCCTAAACCCCAAACCCCAAAACCCCTAAAGCCTGAAACCCTAAACCCTAAACCCCTAAACTCGAAAACCCTAAAGCCCTAAACCCCCTAAACCCTAAAACCCTAAACCCCTAAGCTCGAAAACCCTAAAGCCCCTAAACCCTAAACCCCCTAAACCCTAAAACCCTAAAGCCCTAAACCCCTTAAGCCCCGGAGTCTCTTTGCATCCTCTCAGCCAAGGCTCAAGGAAGCGTTCGATTTTCTAAATTGGCACAGATTTCCCGGCGAGGGAACGGCAACATGGGGCTGCTTTGCTCTGTCCGTTTTTTGGGTGGTGTAGGGAACTTGTAAAAAAAGGTCCTGTTGGTTTAGGCTCTTTCCGTTTTTTTGGGGAGTTTCGGCTGTAGGGTTTAGGGAACTTGTTTTAGGTCCTGTTGGTTTAGGCTTGAGGTCTTCCTTTACAGCCTCCGAGAAGCCCTTTTCTCGAAGGTTGTTTTGGGTGGCTGGTCTGTGCCGAGAAGAATGTGGGGGTTTCCGAACATAGGGGACCCCAACAAAGCGCCTTAAATAGTAGGATCCTTATTATAAGGACCCCAAAATAAGGGACCCCTAAATTCCGGAAACTCCCATGTAACCAACCTTCAACACGATCAGAAGCGAGTATAGTAACCCTGACGCTGAAACTGTCAAACCCACCGTTCTAGTAACCCCCTCAAGTATCGGCGCGTATTATGACCCTGCTCTTATGGTTCTTGGCCGGTGATGGCAACCCTGTTACGTAACAACATCTAACAGTCAAACATAAAGCATAACATACCCTACCGGACTTGCAGCCTCTGAGCCCGAGTCGCCCGGCTGATAGTCAGCGGCTTGCGTAAGAAGCCGGCTTTGCCTCAGCCCCCCGGGAGGATCCCAAGAAGTAGATCCCTTCAAGGGGCTTCTATCTTCTATAATTCTATGAGGGTTTAGGGTTGAGGGTTTAGGGCCGTTTAGGGCCCCTTTCCAAGGGTTTAGGGTGCCGAAAAAGCACCCGTTAGTAGTCTTAGGGTCTCATGTCAGGGGATCTACTTTTTAGCTTTTCCCGGGGGTCTGGGTTTGCCTCAGCCCTGTATCGAGGTCAGGAAGACCTGAATTTGCAGCAAGCACTTGCAATGGAAAGCGTCGCAGTCGCCACGGTCACCAGCGGTCACCAGCGTGCCAAGACAAGACTCCGGTCTGTGCAGAAGCATTCCAGAGAGGGAGTGGCAGCTTCTTGCAAGTTCTGCAAGCTCTATTCGTCATGTATAAGGGAACAGGCCTAAACCTGAACCTTCATTTAAGCGGATAGTTGATGCTGCAGTTTCTGCACAGATTTTTTCGCAAGCAAGCGACGTCTTAGGAGTCGATGCTTATCGATCCCCAATTCGCTGTCCTCTGAGCATGCATCCCTAATTTCATCCTGGCTTGCTCAGCAGTTGTGCATGTCATCACGCTCTTGGTTGTGGGGTCGAGGCCTGCCAGCTCATCTCACACCATCATCATCATCAACATCATCGTCATCATCATCATCATCGTCATCGTCATCATCATCATCATCATCATCATCATCATCATCAACCATCACGATCACCATCACCAGCACCAGCACCAGCACCATCGTCGCCATCATGGACAAGTTCAGCAGCCCCCTCACGCCACCATCCTCGTACCATAGTTATTAGCTTGGTCCTTAGCGTTTTCACTCAAGTATCCTGTGAAGTGAAGATGGCTTCCATGAGGCTAGAGAGGGTCCCCTCAATAATCAGTTGAAGCCTGTCACGTCCTGTTTTCGGCCACAGGAGAGACGAAGATTTGGGGTTCGGACGCCGTTGCAGGGTCTGAAAGTCTGGTTTGTCATGGCCTTGGAGTACCAAGTCGCATGAAGGATGCTGCTCCTAAGCTCTACCTGAGCCCTGTAAAACCTGCCTTTCTATTTTTAGGGATCCGTTTTATGATTTCTTGTTTTTACCTAGCCGCCTTGGCCCGGATCCTGAAGCCCTACAGCCCTGAACCCTCAGCCCTGAAACTTGCGGAAGGTGTCAAAGGCGTTTACTCGACGGTTCCATCTCCCCCACCTCAAAACTACCCCAAATGCGTCCCCTAGCCCTAAACCCTAAACCCTGAACGGTAACAAACTGCCATGTACTAGTAGGTCTAGCACCGAATAGCGAGGCGGACACCCGAAACCTAGAGTCCCACAGACCTGAATCTCCTTGTCGGAGACCGTAGCAGACGTAATCTAGGTTCCCCAGTAGTGACTGTGCCCTTCTGCTCTTTTTCTGTTTGGGTTCCCTTATTATTTAGACCAAAAAGCAGGAAGAAGGGTACCCTGCTTGTTAAGGGGCTACTGGGGAACCTAGTAAAGTTACATCAGTTTATGGCTTCCGGGTTACAGCTTACGGTCTTATGATGCATGGTTAAGGTGTTTCTGGTTTAAGGGTTCAAGCTTAGGCCGGTACCGTGTTGAGGAAAAGCCCTGCTCGTGAGACGAATGCTGCCAGTATCACAATTGCTTAAAGGATCATGGGACTTAGCAAGTAGGGTTATAATTAGAATAACTCTACTTTATAACCCCAATTAAGGGACTTATAACCTTACTTACTAAGTCCCATGATCCTCCAAGTGGTAATGTTCTCAAGGTGACCATGAAGCAGTTGTTGCCACTGTTGCCATTAATTCGTAGCAACTCTGCCCATGCATGTTATTGCGCTCATTGTTCTTGGTTTTGATTCTTTAGGCAGGCAACGATAAATTACCATTTCAGAGGTATATGTACACACAGTCTCTCACACACACAAGTTGCAACCCACATTTCTTGCAATCCAGGTAAGACAACAGACCCTGGAACCTTTCGACGGGTTACGCCGTGACTTTCGAGAGCGACGTTGATCCACGTCCGTGGAACTGTTTAAAGGACTGAGGGTTCACACTCGAGCAAGCGGCGTTGAGCCTCGTTTGGTTCACGACTGCTCAACGCAGGGACTGTTGCTGAACGATTACCAATATCATTCCTTGGGTTCCTGATTACAAACTTAGTACAATATAACCAGAACCGAAAACCTTATTCTAAGTATTGAGGCCCCTAAGCACTCCCTGTCAGGGTTCCTGTTGTTCACAGACTTCTGTCGGTCGTTTGCGCGAGACACTCTGTTGTGCAGGGCATTGATTGGAGTTGATGCTGTTTAGGAGTTTAGGGCTTATAGCGTTTGTAGCAAGCTGGTATTTTGCCTCGTACTTTTGTTGAGTGATCTCTTGCATTGATCAACTATCTGATGTCGGGTGGGAATCTACAGCAGCTTTCTATACCTGCTTTGCAGAGTGCAGTCGTTGCAGGCCTTTCGTTCCTGTCGTTGCTGCAGCGAAGTCCGCCTGCAGTCCCCAGTCCCGGTAGTCTTGAGTGCCAGTGGCGCTTTGCAGCCTGCAGTCCCCTTGCATCCCCGTGTCCCTATGCCTCTTGCAGCCCGCAGTTTCGTTGTGTTTTCTGTTTTTTTCGAACGTCCAGGGTCGAGTTGGGATTCAGCAACATCTAGGGAATCTAGGGTTATGAGTGTGAAGGCATCTGCTCTTTCTGCTTCTGTGCTCGCGTGAACCCGTGCAACCTTGCAAAAAGTAAGGCAAATTTCTTGGAAGCTCCTTGTGTGTCGCTGTCGCTGTTCCGCGGCTTTGAGGATGTGAAGACTAATGTAGGGGCCTTATAAGGAACCCCCCAAAACCCCATTC